GCTGTTATTATGGTAAGTTACAACGTCAAACTATGAAGCATTAATCCATCGGTCTCCTGCATGTTATTAGTACAATCAAAAGGAGCAAAAAGTATTGGACTCAACTTGTCACTTATGAATACCTTTAAGCCATGGAGCAAATGGCATGGTGGGTAACGTAGGCTGTCCACACGCAAGAACCAGCAGTCAGTTGTTCTGTGCAACTCGGACTGGACTCTGCTGTGAGCACAAGTCAAGCGAAACATTTCCTTCGGAATATATCACCCGTTCGGACGCTGGAAGCCCTCAAGAGTAAAGCGCCCAAAGCTGAGTTTCCGTGTTCCTGTGTCGCCTACTGCTGCCATTGAGAGGTATCTAGTCTTGCTGACGTATTACGCAACTTCCGACACATTTCGTTAAACCAGCATTCCCTTCTAGTGGGATCGTAGGACGCGATGTGTCATCCACACACTTAAGCTCGAATTCTCAATTCACTGGTTTTGGGCCTAGGTCCGTATTTAAAATATTTAAAAAATATAAAGTGGCGCAAGACCATCAGCTTACGGGCCTGTAAAGGGCCATTTACCGGTTGTCAACGGTCTTCGTGGAGTAATCGCGCTCGCTATGGTTAGGACGGGGAGTAACCCCGTCCTGTTGGAATCACATGTAATTGCGTACTCCAAGTCAAACCACAAGGGTATTGTTTTTTATCTAGACTATCAACAATCTGCGCGATTTATCTACGACAGTTCCTTGTCCTCAGGGTAAGTTTCATTCCGAAGGATTTTATTGACTTTTTAAATTTCCTACAATTCATATATTTCCAAGATATTTTTATAAAACGAAAGTTCGGATGGCCGCTATAAACTTGAGTTTACCGCACGGACACTTAAGACATTCCGTTTTTCGCTCACCTAGCTCTGTCAGCAGCTTACTAGATAGACCTGAAGCTCACTGAACTTACAAAAAACTCTACCAAGCTGAAATAACCTATCTCTCTACAAGTTATTCTCCCCAAACTGACAGACCTTAACTTCGCATGTTCACGCCTCCGCCGGAAGTTCATAGGACGTAGTTTGAACACTCCGCTGTTCTCATCCTAAAACTTATCATTTGCAATGTAGAAGGGTAACCTAGATTTTTCAACGAACTGGATAAACATCAGATGGAGTTAGCTCACCAACTTATGACTGCTTTACGCATTCAGCTCGCATAACCTAAGGACGGAAATAGATTCTTCGACTGAATATCCTTTATAAAACCTAACGTACTACCGGCCGTGCAGTTCACTCTTGTCTAACCGGGAGATTCCTCTTCAACCGTATGCACGATTGCCAATTATTGATGAGCCGGCAAGATAACAGATCAAAGGTGGCATGCATTCACAGGATACAAAAAGCACGCCCCCACGAGGAAGCACACGCGTTGTTGACGCCCACAGAATACAGAATAGTCACCAATTCCTACAAGCCAGTCAATCAGACGAGGCAAGTATCAACGACCGAATCATTCTGGACGTCACGTTCAGGCACATGAGAAACGAGCGGAGACAGGCGCGAACAATGCCAAACGTCGCAGTATGCATTGAACGCATATTAACGGGAATTTCGGCCAGTATTTGAGCACTTTTGTCAGTCGTGGGTAAAAGGCTTACACATTATATTGCTCACATATTGGACTACCAGGTAGTTCAGATTTACAGACTAAACCTAAGAGATCTCGGTCCACTTCGTTCGTTTCGTATACGAGCTAGACATCATGAAAGATTCCGTGTTCCCCGATAGTATTTCTACCTTGGTAACCTGACATATTTGATTCAGTAGTTAGGTTTGTATATGAGAGTACTGTGTGCGTTCCAACCACAAAAGACACTGAAAGGCAAATGTTTAATACAAGCTAAGAATACATGTTTCTACT